TACGTGATGGCGGCCCTGAACCGAAGCCATCGAAGGCATTGACAGTACCATTCCCCGCATTTACACGCGCCCAAGCCAGACTAACTCCTAGCAGACATGCCGCTCAGTCGGCCGAGATAGACTGCCGTTGCCCAAGAGGATATACCTGCCGTGTTGAGATTCAGATACGCCTCCCCAAGCACCCGATACCGGCAATCAGCTATCCAACCACGGGCGTCATGATCGTCGGTGAGGGTTACTGATTGTGAACGTTCCGAGTCAGGCATAAGTGGCGTACTATCATCCATATCTCGTTCCCAGCGTCTATCGGTCCTTTCATGCATGGACGGACAATGTCACCCGAAGAGATTCGAGACTACATACAGAACTGATAACGGCGATTGTTTGGAGACGCGATAGAATCGTCTTTTGTCGCGCAACCTCATATCTCTAGCGACGAGGCGCATTACCTCTGCTCAGCTGAGGTCAACACTTCAACATCTCAACTTTGAGATAGCAATCTCCAAAATGGCCAACAGCTTCATCGCCTATCTTCGAGGCGACCAGAATGCGCCAGGCGAGCGCAAGCTGGTGCAGAAGCTCGACTTCTTCATCCTTACTTTCTGCTGTCTCATGTACTTCCTGAACTATCTTGATCGCACAAACCTCAACAATGCGTATGTTTCTGGCATGAGGGAAGAGTTGAGCTTTAAAGGCAACCAGCTCAATCAAATCAACACCGTTTTCACTGTTGGGTGAGTGAGCATGAGGGAAAAAAGACACGAGAAACCTCTACTAATGCCACAATCCTCAGATACACCATAGGCCAAGTCCCATGCAACATAGCCCTCTACTACATCAAACCCCGCTACTTCTTCCCAGCATGCATGGTACACCTCTCTCTCTACCCCCTTCAGACTCACCGTATTCTAACAAACCCACACAGGTAGCATGGGCGGGCCTAACAATGGTAACAGCCGCCGCGCAAAAGCCGCAAGACATAATGGCCATCCGCTTTTTCCAAGCGCTCTTCGAATCCTCCACATTCGTAGGAACCCACTACATCCTCGGGTCCTGGTACACAGAAAAAGAGCTAGGGAAAAGATCCGGCATCTTCACTGCATCGGGTCTGGCAGGCACGATGATAGGCGGGTTTATCCAAACGGGGATTCATAGTAGTATGGATGGGTTGAGGGGGATGAGTGGGTGGAGGTGGCTGTTCAGTAAGTATTCAAATCTATTTACACATTTACATACACATGTACTAACATCGTTCTCAGTAATCGACGGCATCATCACCCTCCCCGTAGCCCTCTACGGTTTCCTCCTCTTCCCCGGTAAGTCCTGGCTGTACGAAATCCATGTGAGACATGTACTGACTTCGTACCTCTACCTCTGCAGACACCCCCCGCAACACCCGCGCCCCCTACCTCTCCGCCACCGAAAAGGCCCTCGCGATATCCCGCGTCCCCGAAGTCAGCGAACGAACCCCCATCTCCTTCTCCTTCCTAAAACACTGCTTCAGCACATGGTACTGGTATTTCTTCGTCATCCTGTGGATCCTCGCCGGAGAAACCGAATCCTTCAGCACAAACGCCTTGTTGCAGTTATACATGCGGTCTCATCCAACGGAAACATACACCGTAGCCCAGAACAACAATTATCCAACCGGCGTCCCAGCCGTCGGTATAGCATCCACACTCTTCTGGGCGACCCTCACGGATTTCATGGGCGGAAAAAGGTATCTAGTGGGTTACTGGATCGCAGCCACCGGCATCATAACCTCCGCGCTCATCCTCGCCTTTCCACACTCCACACCCATCCACTTCGGCATGTACTACTGGGCGGGCAGCGTATACGCCTGCCAAGCCACGTTCTTCGCGTGGGCGAACGATGTGCTGCGGTACGAAGAAGATAGTTTGCGCGCGGTGGTGATAGCGAGTATGAATATGGGAAGTAATGCGATTAATGCTTGGTGGAGTATTTTGTTCTACGGGGCAGATATGGCGCCGTATTTTACGAGGGGCATGTGGGCTATGATCGCGGTTAGTATTGGCATGGGGGTGTGGTGTGCGGGCGGGGTTTGGTGGCAGGGGAGGGCGGAGGGAAGGAGGGAGGGGAGTGTTGTGCATGCTGAGGTTAGGGGGAAGGGTGAGGAGGAGGAGGGGAGGTTTGCGGGGGGTGAAGGGGAGGGAGAGAAGGTATAGGGGGGCTTGGAGATAATGACGTTGTTGTTGTACTTCTACTTCGCGGCTCGGGGAGCTAATACAAACGCCTTGATAACGCCGAATTGTTATGCAATCATACTACCATCCATCCATCAAGAGCACAAACACTATCCTATCCTGTGCTATCCTATCCTACATCCCTCATATCATCCCCCCTATGACACACCACCAAACCTCTGGCTCGCCCTCCCGCCACGCATACTATTCATAAAATCAGCCGAAGGATCACTGCCCAGTCCATTCCATCCATTAGCACCAACACGCTGGCCCTCCCTCTGCGCCTTGTTAATCTTCTCCTGGAGCTGCGAGGCCCCCGAATCGATAAGCTGGAGCTGAGCGAGCTGTGTGTTGAGGACGCGGACGACTTTCGTGAGGGGATCGTCTGGCTTGCCGGTCTTGCTGAGCGTCTGCGATGTGTTGTTGATTTCTTCAATCATCTCCGTGAGGTCTTTGTTGAGTTCGTTGAGGCGGTCTTGCAGTTTTTCGGCGAGCTTGTAGCTGGGTGGTTGTTAGTCATTCATCATGGAGGGTGTGTAGGATTAGGGGTTTACTTACGTCCTCTCGCGCTCTTGGTCTGGGCCGCGAAGCGTCTCGTTCTTGCCGCTGACACCGTGCATCTTCATGAGGTTGTCAATCTCCTTCTCGTAGCGGTCGAGGTAGGAGTCGAGCTCTTGCTGGTTCTCCTCCATCATCGTTAGCTGCCTCTCGACCTCGGCGGCGTCACGCTCGGCTTGGAAGGTCTTGGAGTACAGTTGGCGGACTTTGTCGGAGTTCTCGACGAGCGCCCTATCCCATGATGCGACTGTCTCGGCTTGCGATTGGAATTCCTTCTGGTACTTGGATAGGTCGGCGGCCCAGCGGGTGATGATCTCGTCCATGGACTTGTTCTTCAGGCGTGATTGCGCCGATGGTGCGGGTCCGGCGGTTGATGCAGCAAGTCCGCTTTGGCCTGCATTGTTTCCGCTTGTCGCTCCAGGGGCTGGAGTTGGCTGTGAAGTGGTGTTGGACGACGCCGCCGGTGCTTCGCTTCCTGCGGGCTTGCTGAACAAGCTGGGAGTGGCTCCAGATGTGGTGGTGGTAGCAGCTCCAGGAGCAGCGGATGTAGTGTTTCCGCCTCCCAATCCACTTCCAAGGCTGGGGAACAAGGATGAGTTTGACGATGCGGTTGTCGTAGGCGCACCGCTTGTTGCAGTGGTTGTAGCTCCAGTTGTTGCAGCGGTGCTAGCAGGAGCAGCAGGCTTGGGGAAGCTGAAGCCACCGCCAGTAGATGCTGGTGTGGAAGCTCCCGCAGGTGAGAATAGGCTCGGTGCCGCAGAACCGGATGACGCAGCGTTGTTTCCACCCAGACTCAGGCCCGAGGTCGCAGTAGGCTGCGTAGAAGCTGGCGCAGCGGATGAGGTACCCAAGCTAAATCCTCCCAATGGCTTCGCAGGTGTCGAAGATGGGGTGCTGCTGCCCAGCCCGCCGAAAAGCCCACCTGCAGGTTTGGAAGCCTGCGCGTCTTGTGAAGCAGGCGCTGAAGGACCACCTCCGAATAGGCCACCCGAGGGAGTAGACGCAGGTGCAGCGGGCTTGTTTGCATCGCCCGAGGCGCCTGTGTTTCCTCCCAGGCTGAAGCCGCCTGAAGGCTTCGCGGCAGATTGTCCGGATGCAGCGCCGAATAGACCAGGTGTGGAAGACGCAGAGGTTGCTGCTGGCTTTTGGCCGAATAGCGAGGATGTGCCTCCGCTAGACTGGTTGTTCTGGCCGAATAGACTTCCGCCTGGAGGTGCGCCGGCTGGAGTGGTGGAGGGGAGGAAAGACGTCTTGTTTGCTGCTGGCGTAGCTGTTGGTGTTGAGCCTAGACGACATGTCAGCAGTCGCGTTGAAGGTCACAGATATGCCCAGCTACTCACTACCTGCTCCGCCGAATCCACCAAATGGAGAGCCGGAAGATGATGGCGCCGCGCCAGTTGAAGCTCCACCGAATAGTCCACCAGCTGGTTTTGGCGCATCTCCCTCCTTCTTCTGTCCAAAACCAAACCCGCCGCCGAAACCTGGTGTTGAGGATGGGGCCGGTGTAGCTGAGCCTCCGCCAAACAGACCACCGCTAGGCTTGGACGCAGGTGTGTTGGATGCGCCGCCGAAAAGACCGCCTGAGCCGCCTGGATTAGCTGCACCACCGCCAAAGAGGCCGCCGCCGCTGCTGCTAGCTGGTGTGCTCGAGGTGTTGTTTGCGGTGCCGAAGAGAGATGGCGTCGCGCTGCCAGTGGAGGGTGCAGCGCCAAACAGTGACTTCTGAGGAGTGTTGCTGCCGCCGCTGTTGTTGGCAGCGCCGCCGAATGTGAAGCCGCTCATGATGGCGGGTGTGGAGGAGAGCTCTGGTGTTTGTTGTTGATGGGCGATGGAGCTGTTGTGGTCGGCGAGATATCGAGAACGCGCGAAAGTCTAGTCGTGTCGCGCCCAGGGATGCAATTGTCGGGCCGCTAATGGACGAGGTCAAAGAATTGCGCGTAGTCGTGTATTCTCCTCACGCGCATCGACGTCGCGCCCAAAAGTTAGACAAACAGGTGCAAGGGTCAGGGCTTAGCTCCGGTGAATTGTTGTTCCCACCTTCCCGCTGCTGGAGCGTCCAGACCGCTCGTCCCCGCTAATCGAGCGTGCCTGAACGACGACACGCTCAAGCAACGAGGCGCAGTCTCCTGTCGCCTTCGCAGATCATTCCTCCTCCGCCTCTATAACCGTGACCCAGGTCTCCACGACTTCTCCCACAACACACACCCCGTCAAGTATAGCATCATCAATTGCCTCGACATGCCGGACGAGCTAGCACCACCCCGCAAGAGCGTAGAGCTGGAAGACCCCGGCGCGAAAGAGCTGGGTATGTCGTCTTGCTAATACGGTGTATTCATTCTAACATCACACAGCCGACTCAAGCGACGAGCACTTCTCCGATGCTACCGAAGGCCAGCCTGCGCGGTCGGACATGACCTCGCCCATTCCCATCACACGAGTTGAGCGAGTCGACGACGAGCCAGCCCACGGCGAGGTTCCCGGAACAGACGCATACAACATGCGCACCCAAGACGCTGTCCCCGACGAGGTTGAGATTGTCCCAGAAGGCGCACGAAGTCGCAGTGCCTCGCGCGTCAGCGTCAGCGACAGGCCTCTGACACCAGGAGGAACGCCAGTGCCAAAGACAATTGTCGAGAAAATCGACCCCGACCAGCCCAGCTACGGCGATGTTCCCGGTACACTTGCCCACCAGCAACGTCTGGCCGATGCTACGCCTGACGTGGTTGTCAGAGCACCGGAGGAGCCTTCCCAGAGCAGCAATCCAGGTACGTAGGGCATTTCCTTGGTGCCTCCTGCGTACCATTGACGGAAGAAGGGTCACCAACCTCGCATGACAGGTCCCCAATAAGCCCGAGTGACGGCACAACCGAAGCCGCACCTGAAACACTTGCCGAAGCCGACGCCGACGCCTCGATCGAGCAAGACGACGACTTTGGCAACGCCGACGGTGACGACGATGGTTTTGGCGATTTCGACGACTTTGAAGAAGGCGAAGAGGGTGACGATGATTTTGGGGACTTTGACGATGGGTTTCAGCAAGGCGAGGACGATGCAGAGACATCATTTGATAAGCCCCCAGAACAGCCTCCTGTACCTGTCCCCTCGCCAGGTCCTGTAAGTCGCAGCAATTCTAGTCCACATACATTATTGCCTTGTCCGCTTGCCTTGGTGACATCTGACTAACCTCTCCTTCTACAGCCCGTCTTAGACTTTGACCAACTCACATCACTTGAAGACATCGTCTCAGCAACACAGCCATACCTTGATGACATGTACCCCGCACAGGACGGCATACCCACAATATCCACCAATCCCGAGGAAACGCGGTCCATATTCCTCTCAGAACGGAGTCATTCATTATGGACACAACTAGTCGCACCGCCGCCACTACAACCTCCCGACTGGGTCCGCTCGCGCATACGGCGGCTGTTCTTGGTATCCCTAGGTGTACCCGTCGACCTTGACGAGATCCTCCCTGCATCCAAACAAAAGAAGCTCATCCTCCCTTCAATACATATACCCGGCGGCTCACCGCGCCCCTCCTCAGACGGTCGAAATAACGGCGGTCCCTTGGGACGCATCAAGCGCGAGAACGAATCATCCACTTCAGTTGACTCATCAAGTTCAAAACCAGAGCGGAAACGCAAAGGACCGCCACCACCACCCGAACTGGACATCAGCAGTACCATGCAGCTTTGCGCGACAACAGATGCAGCACTGCAAGGCTTGACTGACGAGGAGTTGAAGATGCACATCGACCACCTAAAGGGTCTGCAAGAAAGAGCAAAAGAGGTGTTCGAGTATTGGCAGAAGAGATTAGAAAGTGCACTAGGCGACAAGGATGCCTTTGAGCAAGTCATCGAGAGTCTGGTTGCGCATGCGAAGAAGCTCAGGTAGCCAGTTCCATGTCGTCAAATGCAGTTTAATCATACTTCCATTGAGACAGCCATGTTTTGGCGGTGTCGTTTGTTATCTGACCCCTTGTGATTCGCCAATGTATTCATTTCTTGGGTCAGGCGAACCACAGTTGTAACAGAGCTCGCACATTCTAGTGCCAAAATAGGTGTAATAAAAGGGTGGATGTTTCTTTCTTCTCTTGATTTATCTTTTGTAGGAATACACTGCACCCTGTCTTCTGAAATTCCAGAACTGCCGCAAGAGAGGTTACCATGTCATATACTACTACCAGGACCACTACCACTACCTTTACCACCACCTATACTAGAACCACTAGGACTATCTATACAAATACCGCGGCTGCTACAAACATCACTGTTTTCACAAGTCATACAAGCCCCGCAAGCACAAACACCACCACAACCACAACCTCAACCATGCCGTACATCGAAATAAGCAACACCTCTCCCCGGGCGCGCAACACAGCACCCTACTCATCACGCTCAGCCTTTACAAACTTCGGCCTCAAACAAATCCGCACAGATTGCCTCACCGCACACGAAGACAACTGTTCAATCTGTCTCGAAGCGTATTCAGACATCGACCCGGCTACAAAGATTAACATATGCCGCCATATCTTCCACAGATCCTGTTTAATGACATGGTTGGAGTCATCATCAACATGCCCCATGTGTCGAGCAAAACTATTCGCTCCCGCTCTGTCACCATATTGGTCCTATCACCCATTGCCTTCAATGCGGGACCTCCGGATTGATACTACAAGCGAACGTACGAATCCGAGGAGGAATTTGTTTGAGAGGAGGGGTGGGGTTGGGGGCGTTCCTGCGCTACCGCATGCAAGAACGGATACGGAGTTGTCGATGATGGTGGGGAGGGAGGAAAGGGATGGGCCGGATGCGTCTGATGCTTTGGCGACGTGGAGGATGGCGGCTTCTGAGGAGGGGAGGGAGGGGAGGGAGCAGGGGGAGACGCCGCTGGATTATTGATGGGGATGGAGGGTGTATGACGACTTCTGAGGTGCATGGATTCTGCAAATGTGTTTTGAAGTTGAGAGATTCCGAGAGACTACGTTGTTGGCATGGATGATATTTGATGGGTTTTGATGTGCGTGTATTCTGCGGACATGTTTTGAGGTTGAGATGCTCCAAGAGACTACGTTATGGCATCAGAGGATCTAGCACCACGAGCGAGGGATCTGTATTCTGCAAACACGGCATGAAATCAATAAATATCGGTCGATAGGCCTGCTCCTGGAAAGTAAGCGTAGAGACTACGTAGTCGCAAGAGAGGATTCAGCACAACTTGCTGGGTGTATGTATTCTGCAAACACGTTTCTGAGTGAAGAATTTCCAAATTTAGATGGCTTCCTTGTGTATAGTGGAGGGGTCCCTAGGTGGATACATAGTAGGCAAAGCGTACTAATTCGTCACGATCCACATGACTGATCTTGGACATGTATATCGTGTTGAGTGTCGTGAAATACCTTGATGTTGCAAAAGCAAATATAATTTCTGTAGGGTTGTCCGCTGCGTGGAACTTGCTCCCGGGGCGAGGACCCGGGGAATGTTCGGATGCGCCGACCGGGTTCCCCAATGTTTCCTTGCTTTGGTGCAACGGCGAGTCGATTTTGGACAGCGCAAGAACACGTCCTCGCATGTTAGCCAGCATGTGCCGGCATCCGCTCAGACACGCTTACTGCAGTCGGCCGGACGGCCGGGAGAGACCCTGAGCGAAGCGACGTGCTTTGTGAACAAGCGTACCCCACCGTACGCACCATCACAGAGCCCCTCTGTCAGCTGTCAATCAGCGCACGATAAGATATGAGAGTATTGCGATCGATGGCGCTGAAACCACGGCACGAGTACGGCAGGTGCAGTGGCATGCAGATCAAACAGGAGAGCAGCGCAGAGCTGCCGTGGCTAATTTAGAGGCGCCTTCACAGTTGGCCGTGGGCGTTGAAGTCCATGGTGTCCGCGGTGTGGTGCGATGCTAGGCGATGCCTGTTCCGCGCGCCGTTAGCAGCGAATAGGGGTAATTTGCCACACTGGTGGGTGCAGGTGGCTTCGGTCGCACTGCCATTCGTCGCTCTGTTCGTAAACTCGTACGTGCTAAGAGATGGCACGCGGACGGGAAATGCATGGTCACACTTCATTCCGCGGGCCATGACGTCGGCGGTGTGCAGTGGTGTTGTGCTGGAGGGCTGAATTTGCGGTGGTTTGTTCACCAAGTGGCCGTTGGCAGCCATAGTCCGCCCTGTCCGTTTCTGAGCTCGGCCGTGCACGTGTGGACCCACCCGTGCAGCACGCAGCGCTAGGTCGTTCGCGACGTAGCGCTTAACTGTCATCTTCGCGTCCAGTCTGCTTTCCCAACCCGGCAGCATGTCGGGCAATCCTTTTGGCAGTGAGGCAGCATAGTGTAGCACGCCCGTGACGCTGCGTTGGGCTGGCGTGTTCCGTCTCTCTTCCGCCGCGCTCCCCTCTGCTCCTCCATCGTGTGGCGTGCGGCTATTCTTCACGCTGCCTAGCTGCTAGATCCCGTGCTAGCCCTGTTTGAGCCATACTGGATATCCATTCCAGCGGGGCCCCTGCTTGCGCTTCCTCGATACCTCTCGAGTTCATCTCGCGATCCATCAGCATCCTCGCAGCCGTCTGCACCGGCAGACTCTTCAGTCCCTCCTTTGTCCGTTCTCGCCTGCCCTCGCACCGAAACTTGACCCGCCGCACTTCCGTCCTCTCCCCCGTTCCAGATGCGCACATAGCAGCCTTTTGAGCCTCGCACCCTTCCACCCGCCGCCACAATGGCCGCAGAGACGTACTCGAGCGTCTCAGCCATCATCCGCAACCTCGCCCGCCAACATGACCCCACGCGAGACCCCAGCTTCAGCGCACAGGTTTCGGCCAATGGAGCCAAGACGGCCGCCAACGCCATCGCTCTGCCGGGCCCGGAGAGCGAAGAGAAGACACAACTCGAGCAGGAGCTGTCGGCGCTCTGCTCAAGAATAGATTTCCTCGAGCACAAGAGCAGCCACGCCGCGACCAAGCAGGGCCAGTTCCCTCTGACACCCGCACAAGAGCCCCCGGAGGAGGGCGTATTATATACACAGGCCGGCGTCGTGCGCGGCAACAACGGCCCACCCGTCCAGGGCCGTCGGGGATCCAACAAGGAGCGCGCCATCTGGGTGTCCAACTGGCTCGCAGCCAAAGAGTCGAATGGCGACCCCGAGCAGCCCGCCGCAGCCCTCACCGAGGAGCAGCTCAACTATCTGCGCGTACACCTGAACCAGCAAGCCGACCAGATAAGGAACCAGCGCGAGCACATTGGTAAGGGCGTGCAAATGGAGTCGCATGCGCTTATTCTGACATCATACAGACAACCTGAGCCAAGAAGTGAACAAGCAGTTGACGACACAGAGCATGGTATTCGAACACGGCATTGAAGACATCGGCGCACTCAAGAGAGAACTCGGCAAACATCAACAGGGTAGGCTCTGCAGCCTCACATAGGCGTTGACACGGCTGACATGTTTAGCCAACTTGGCTTTCCAAAAGGCACTGCGGGAAATCGGCGCCATCGTCACGGCCGTGGCCATGGGTGACTTGAGCAAGAAGGTCTTGATCCATGCTAAGGAGATGGACCCTGAAATCACTCTGTTTAAGCGCACGATCAACACCATGGTGGATCAACTCCAGGAGTTTGCTAGTCAGGTTACATTCCTCGCCCGAGAGGTCGGCACCGAAGGCAGATTGGGCGGTCAAGCCAACCTACCAGGAGTTGCTGGTATTTGGGCTGAGCTGACTGACAGTGGTACGTTGTGATTAGGGTTCCACTATCGGCCCGATGCTAACGTGTCCTGCAGTTAATGGGATGGCCAAGAATCTTACCGACCAGGTGCGAGAGATCGCCGTAGTCACCACCGCAGTCGCCATGGGTGACCTCAGTCGCAAGATTGAACGTCCGGCCCGCGGAGAAATTCTGCAGCTGCAACAGACCATCAACAGCATGGTGGACCAACTGCAGTCGTTTGCGACTGAAGTATCCAAGGTGGCCAGGGATGTCGGTACCGAAGGAAAGCTCGGTGGTCAGGCTGAAATCGCTGGTGTCAAGGGCATGTGGAACGAACTCACAGTGAACGTGAACGCCATGGCTCAAAATCTTACTACACAAGTGCGAGACATTGCCCAAGTGACAACGGCTGTCGCGCAGGGTAACCTCACCCGGAAAGTCGAAGCCGAATGCAAGGGTGAGATTTTGGAACTCAAGAACACGATCAATCGCATGGTGGACCAGCTGCAGCAATTCGCCCATGAGGTCACCAAGATTGCGAGAGAGGTCGGATCCGAGGGTCGCCTTGGTGGCCAAGCTACAGTGCATGGTGTTGAGGGAACCTGGAAAGATCTCACTGAGAATGTGAACGGTATGGCCATGAACCTCACAACACAAGTGCGAGAGATCGCCGAAGTCACTACAGCCGTCGCAAGAGGAGATTTGAGCAGGAAGGTCAAGGCAGAAGTCCAGGGTGAAATTCTGTCCCTCAAGATTACCATCAACACCATGGTGGACCGTCTCAACACATTCGCACAAGAGGTCAGCAAGGTGGCCCGTGAGGTCGGCACAGACGGTATCCTCGGCGGCCAAGCGCAGGTCGACAACGTTGAAGGCAAGTGGAAGGACCTCACCAACAATGTCAACACCATGGCCCAGAACTTGACGCTGCAAGTGCGAAGTATCTCCGAGGTCACACAGGCCATCGCCAAGGGAGATATGAGCCGCAGAGTGCACGTGGACGCCGAAGGAGAGATTCGACTACTCAAAGACACTATCAACGACATGGTTATGAGACTAGACGAATGGTCTCTTGCTGTGAAGCGCGTAGCTCGCGATGTGGGCGTAGACGGAAAGATGGGCGGCCAAGCAGATGTAAGAGACATCGACGGCAGATGGAAAGAGATCACCACAGACGTCAACACCATGGCACAGAA